CATGCAAATAATAACCAATCACAAAACACTATAATAGGTGTAAAAGGTGTGTGTGGTTGTTTTTTTTTTTTTACCATCGTCATCTTCAATATTTTAATACTTTCTTATTAAATGATGACCATACAAAGTAGGCATTTTAAGCCAAGAATGAATGGAGATGAGTGTAGGATGAGTGGCGCGATCTTGTAGTTTTGTTAGTGAGTGGCCGACATTCCTAAGACACAGCTGTTTATTAATAGCCCATACAGCTAATGGCAACCTAGGGACCTACAGTTTATAGTGGAATCCGAACAACATTTTTACCATGGTGTATATGAATTGGTCTAATTATCAGGATAGTACTGCGAAAATTCGTAGTACTCACTCGTGTGGACGTTAATCCACACCAGGGACTATCGAATCCACAGTGCATGCCTATAAATATCCACAATTCGTGACCTCCTATTAGCCGGACTACAGGATGGTAAAAAAATCCATCGAAAACTTCCGTAATAAACCTTTGAACAACATTAACTGACCATCACCAGCAATGAACTTCAAACAAATAATTCAAAGCTTATATAAAATAAATACGTTTGCCAAGTTCGATCAAAATAGTCAATCTACGACTGGCATCGGAAGTTCAAGGCCACGGGTTACTTATGAAGACGAAAGAGTCCCGGGTGACCAGTAACGTCTGTTAGTTAGGTCATAGATTAAACATACTAATCTATGGTTAGGTTGAGTAAATCCGTGCAAAGTTTGTAAACAATTCGAGGATATAAACGTGGAGGGTGCGGGTATGGACTTTTGTCTTTAATGAGTGTATGCTTTGGTTGTTGGGTTATGTCAGTGACAGAGTTTTGTATCGCATTTTCGAGCTCAAGCATCGCATTAACTGCTGCAGTACTATAAGTGTTGATGAGGCCACGCTCCAAAATTAGCGGTTTGAATTTAATTGTAGAATAGATGACTGCAAATAAAGCCGTGGTTTACATATTGAACACATGTTTTATATAGGAAAAACATGAAGTTTTTTCTTTCTAATCGTGTATGTTACTCTTTATAAATCAGTAACATTTCGCTGTAGTTTTTAAACACAGCTGCTTACTTGTTTTGTGTAGACCCTACAAACCCGGTACACTCATTACTCAAGAGCTGCAGGTAGAGATACCTTACAACAATCGAACCATTTGGGTTATTTGTTAGTATCGTTGTATGGGTCATCAATAACAATGAATAGTTTTTGTATGCATTACAATACCATTAATTGTAATATTAGTTTTTCCTAACAATTTATTCCAATATTGATATGTTTTTAAATGTAAATACACTTAAGAGTAAGTATAAACACACCAAATTATATAGCATAAAATTTTTTAGTATGAGCATCTGCACCACTTTTATATCATCAAAGGTAGCCTAAATTATTGTTCACCACTTGATGTAACAAAAACAGGCTTTTATTAAGACTAGAGGTTTGTCCCGTAGTCGAAAACTTGACCAAAAATATGTGTAAGCTTTTCAATTTTCACCCCAAATTGGCATTTCTATTTGTTCATTTTCTGTTTAAACTTTGTCACCAGAATGGGAACCCAATAAGGACCATGTTAATGTTTTTTAATATTATCTTAAATATATTATCTTAAATATATTATCTTAAATATATTATCTTAAATGCATATTGTGTAATTATTTTAGAGCCAAAAGACTCAAATAACTAAAGGTAAAGGTATTTAAAATATCCGGCAAAGGTTTTAGCAAAATTAAGGACTACATGTAAAAGGTTTTTCTAACAGTATGCGTAGATTTTCCTTGCGAAGCACACGAGCTTAGAAGAAAGGTTTTCAAGAAACATGCTTGCCTATTAATATATAATTAAGTGTTACGGTGAAATTTTGTGTCTAAATTAAAGGTAGATGTCAAACCATTTTTACTGCATTTTCAAAGAACAAAACTCGTTTCCTCTATAGACTGACCCTGATTCAAGTACGGGTGTAAAGGCATTAAAAAATGTTCATCTCTCGCACTATTGATTTATTTCTATTCTATATCATATTATCTTAACCACATACACCCTTAATCCTTTCTGCGCCTCTAGTACAACTAGTAACCCAGAAATGAGAAAAAGACTGCTTTAATACCAAGAGTAAAACCAAAGCTCAAATTATTCAGGTACATCAATGTATGTACATTTTTCATTAGGTCTAAGTTCAAACAACTGCATTTTTTTACATCCACAAAAACCCATCTTTTATGTGGCTAGTTATAGGTAAGAATCTTCATTATGTGGTCAAACTATACATAGGCTCTATATATATAGGAAGTGATATATAGTACAAGACTCTCTAGTTATTTATCAGTTCCATTTTATTGTTGTTGTCGTCGGCTATTTTTTGCTTCTAGAAGGGGCCAGGTTTATTAGCGATAGACGCGCGGCAATAAATCACGAGTAAGCAAACTTTCGCCCGGTAAAATGCTAGACTAAATGAACACAACGCGACGAAAGACATGCATGATTCAGATTTTAATACGCAGTTGAAATCTCTAGACAAGCACTAAATCGACAATTAGTCTAATAATAAGTGTCATTTACTGCCAACGATCACATAAGACAAAAAGTCAAACGGTGTAAAAATATTGATTTACAATGTCGTAAATTAACTATTATAATAATAATACAGTAAAATGTAATTTTGAATCACAAAAACACTATGTTGCATTTTATTTTAAACAAATTTAGTAAATATTTAAAACCCACGTTTTCATATACAACACTTTAAATGTACGCGCAGCTCCCCCCTGGAATAGTTCTATAAATTACAAATTCTAACAATAACTATGTATGTATGTACTTTCCCCTTCTACAAACAAAATTATTTAGGATGAATCGCGGACAATGTAAGCAAACGGGGAAATTCAGTTTTCAAACGTTGGTATCACTGCATCCGAAACATGAGGCCTGTATAAGTACTTCCGAGTAATCGCGTTCTTTCCCAACAAAGCCCTCCCCCTTCTACCATTACTAAAGATAAGCACCGCCCAGACTCGTCCAACTTGCCATGAGTACTAATGCCTTATCTGCCTGTTCGTATACAACCCGTGTGAACTACGCTGTAGGCTTCACATTGAATGTGTTACCCAAGTTTATTAAATTAAAGCTAAAACACAGTTTTTTGTTACAGAGTCATTGATTGAGGTGAACTGATTGAAGACAAGTGTTTTGCTATTAGTGTGAAGTGTGATAGTACGGACTGTTGTGATAAATTACCACTGTTTATGGTTTAATTTATATGTTTTAAAATAAATGTTCTGTATAGACTGCTAAAATTGAATGATCATTTACAATGCCTTTATTGCCAGCTGTAATATTTTTTTACACTTTAATTGTTTTTCTTTTACTTTGTTTCTGAGTATACAAGTTCTGATTTAGTCAATATTTGCATAATCCCAATGGGTAATCACTTTCAAAAATATAAAATAGTAAACACAACAGTTTTTTATAGATCATTGTTATTATTTATTGGTGTTTTTGTATTGCAATCGTTAAGTTGCATGCGTAGTTGAAGATGCATCGGCCTGTTTAAATGTGAAAAGAAACTAAAATATAATCCGAAAATTCCAGACTTACATAAAAGATTATTCAAACAAAGGAGGTTGAAGTATGTAAACAATTCCTAAAACTCTAATTTTAAATTAGGTAAGTTTAATTTGATATCAAATTTCAAGTTTTGACCTTATTTCCCAAATGTTCTTTGGATTATATTTCAATTTAATTTCTGCTTTCAATTTATTTTATAATTGCAATGATTCTGCTTCACTCAAATTCCAGGGCATGGACTGCAATCAACATCTGCCGACACCAAATTTGAGACAATCTAAAAATTTGTTAACTCACTTGTATACACTGTACAACATTTAAATACAACGTGAAAAATAATAGGATTTCCTTTATTATTAAAATTCATTTGAATTTTTTCAAAATGTTTGAGATCATTCTCAACATCCCAGGCAATTTCCTTGAATATACTCAGATCACTCAAAAAAATATTCTAAGAGCATTTTTATATAGAAATCTGGAGAACGATCTCAGAATATTCTGGAAAAGTACTCTGGAATGTTCATAGTATATTCTGAACATCCTTAGAAACTCCATGGAACATCCTTAGAAACTCCTTAGAACATTCATAGAATGTTGAACAAGAACATTCTAGGAATATTCACAAATAGCACAAAAGGAATATTCTTGGATTATTCTGAATGTTCTGGGAATATTCTGAGAACATTTGACAGAATGTTCTTGGATCGTTCACAAATAACCCAAAAGGAATATTCCTGGATTATTCTAGAATGTTCTAGGAACATTCTGAGAATATTCCATGGGATGTTCTCAGAATGTTTGCAAGGTGGGACATAGAATATTCTCTCATGGTCCTGAGAATGTTCTAGGTTTATTCCAGAATATTCGTGGTATATCCTCAATATCCTCAGTGAATATTCATGGAACCTTCTAAGAATATTCGTGTGCTGTGTGGGAAAGGACATCACAGTAGCTGCTAATGAAGGCATGAAACTAACACAATTTGATGTTTCTACTGGCTTTTGTACGGCAAAATAAATGAAGAAATTTATATGCATCAACCGGAAGGATTCAGTAATCAGTAATCACGTCTGCAAGCTTAATAGAAGTTTGTATGGTTTGGAACAAGCACCAAGATGCTGGAACGAGAGAGTTGGAATGGTCCTAAAAACTCGGACTGAAAAAAGATTGATGATGATCCATTTCTTTTTATCCGTAATAACAATGGACATAAGCTAATCGTTGTTCTATATGATGACGATGGACCCATTGCTTCTACTCATTATGAAGACTTGAATTAATTCTTAGTAGAATTGAAAAAAAAATTAAAATCAAGTCAAAACCAGTAGATTACTTTTTAGGATTGGAGATTTCCAAATCTGGTGAAAATATCAAATTAAGTACAGGAGGATATGTTTCAAGAATTTTAGAAAGATTCAACATGGGAAACTGCGGATCAGCCCCAACGCCTATGGTAAAATATGAACAGGACGAGACGTCTTTCCCGTATCGAAAAACTGTTGGAGCCCTTATGTACCTCATGGTTAGTACCAGACCGGACATAGCGTACGCAGTGAGTATAGTCTCTAGAAGCCTAGAAAATCCTACAATAAATGATTGGTGTCGAGTGAAGAGAATTCTCAGATATCTTGAGGGTACTAAAGATTGTGGAATCGTGTACAAGAAGCACTTTGGAAGTGGCGTTCTTAATTGCTACAGTGATTCAGACTTTGGTGGTGACTATGAAAAAAGGAGATCGACAACAGGACTACTCACTCTGTACGCAGGTGGAGCGATATCATGGATCAGCCAACGACAGCCTTCTGTTCAACTTTCAACTACAGGAACAGAGATTGTGGCTGCGAGTGAGGCTGCCAGGGGTACAATTTGGTTAAAGTGATTACTAAGTTCATTTAACTGAACTTAAAAGCACACATGTGATCTTCGTAGACAATGAAGCTGCTATATTTCTAGCACAGAATGCAGAGCATCACAGAAGAACCAAACACAATGAAATAAAACACTTTTTCATTCGAGAACAAGTGACAGCAGGAAACCTTGAAGTGGAGGAAATTGACACAAGTGAAGATCTAGCTGATTTTTTTTACAAAACCTCTTCTTGGACAGTTTGACAGTTGGTTTTGAGACAGAAACTTGGACTGGCTTAAAGTTCCTATGAAGTCTCTAAAGGAAGTCTTGAGTAGGGGGGTGTTCCATTTTCATTTCATTTTCATTTTTATTAAACGGCAAACACCATTTTACAAGTGAGTTTAACGAGATTACATTGCATTGTGCATTATACATACATATACGACAGAGCCATTTTGAAAATGAGCGAAAAACAGCTTCCAGTTTAAACACAAAATCAATAAGACAATCGATAAAAAAAACAACAATAAATAACAATAAAAATAAATAACAATATAAATAAATAACAATATAGTACATAACAATATAAATAAATAACAATCCCGTTATATTACAAATTATTATATTACAAGATGTTAATATTCGAGAAGATAATCAATCAACAATAGAAATAACACAAATAATTGAAAGGAATATATCATTAAAAACTATAGAAAACAACAACAAGGAGTAACAACAATTGATAAAGATTTTAAAAAATTTAACAGGGATTAAAATATTAAGAATGAAAACGATACAGTGATAAATCTCACACAAAAAGAAAAACTTGAATTGACAGAATAATATTGCTTGGCAGTTGGCACTTCCTCTCACTGTTGCACTGTTCACTGTTGTTGTCTGTGTTGCATATAATAACTATTGGACTATATTTATTATACTTTTAATACTCTTTGACTTCCTTAAATGTGAATTCAAATGTTTTTGTTTTACATATGGCATTGACAAATTGTATACCGTTATAATAAAGATTTTTTAAAGTTATTTTGATTCTTAGGCATCTGCAGATTAAAACTGTTTCGCAAAGAATGTAGGCATGATCTGGAACTTGAAAAAATGGAATTGCTCTTTTTCATGAAACAGAGGGTTTGAAGGATGTATATGCTTGGAAAAGTTAAAATTACACAGCAATTACATTTTACTAATTAGTTATAATTAACTAAACTGTAACAGCACAACAACTTTTAACTGCCCATTGGCCATTAAGTGATGGCCTAGAGGATGGGGTAGCTGGCATGGGAAGCAATACCACACATATTGTCGTGGTTCCTAGCCATCATGATGTATCCCTTCATTCCCCAGGAGGTTCCCCAGGAGTTCTTCACCAACCAGAAGTCTCCTCCATTCGTGGTAGTTCCGAACCCGATAACCAACATGCAGTGGTCTAGTTTCTGGCTGGAGCAGGCAGGCTCCTTGTAAACTCCTAAAATCACAACTTACACTTTATATCGTGCAATAAAACCAGAAGTTAGGATTGTTAGGAAAGAGTTAGCTACAATTTCAGCCTTCAAGGTACAGATACCATGGCCACTGTTGTAGTTTATATAATCAAACCTAGCTGTTCTCTGGCCCTTCTTGTACCTGGGACCTTCTTGTACAGGTTCTGATCTGACCTATACTATGTCGTGACGACCGTTTACCATAAATTAGGTAGTAGGCATACTTAAATGTATTTTTGTCTATAGTCATGCAATCGAGGAGTAGTTGATGTGTGAAAGGTAAAGGCGATGCACTTTTATCTATTATCAAATTCAAGCTCATTCTGTTATTCATGCACCACTTGTAAATGATCTGAAGATCGCCCTGAAGAGCACTATAGTCCTGTTTTGAAAAAATAACACTGTATATCTTAATATCATCAACAAATAGAAGGCGATTGGTAGAAATACAATTAACAATGTCTTTGGCGAAGATGATGAATTAATTGTCCTTGGAACAAAATGAATTGTAAACATCATGTTGAAGTTAATTTTATTATTCTAAGCTCAATTCCATTGTATTATAGTGACCTAACCTATAGATTTAATTGTGTCTACTTGGTTCAATAAACGAGCTTTTGAGTTATGAACAGCGTAGGGCACAGGATTGACCCCTGTGGTACCCCCGATGAAATTCAGATGAAGGCTTCAGATGTTGATGACGCAAATCTCACAGATAGCCGCCGATCTCTTTGGTAGCTGGAAAACCAACTAAGAAATGGACAAGTGATTTCATAGGCACAAAGCTTGTCAAGAAGGCGCTGAAGACAGACCCGGTCAAAAGTTTTAGAGAAATCCAGATAGAGGGTGTCGACTAGCTGGCCCTTCTCGAATGCCTCCATCACATAACTTTGAAAAACGATAAGGTAGAGTAGCCGTTGATTTGCCAGAGATAGATCCGTGTTGGAATCCTTCACCAGAATTTGTCACTTATAATACAAAGGCGTATTGTCACAGATATCATTGATATCAACTAATTTGGGCTCGCTATTAGGGCTCATCGCAGCCGGCAGACGCCATCTTAGTTAAGATGAGTGAAAAATACTGGCTTCACGTCACGGCCAACATGCTCCATCTATTGGTCTTATGTGATCGTTGAGTTCGCGTACAAACCTCGCTCGATTTTGAGAATATACATGTGAATAGATGTGGATTTCAAATAGTAATGAAGTTGTACAATGATATTGAACATTTATATAGGCTTGTATAGGCCGAGAGCTGGATTTAAAAAAAAAGTGTTCAAAAAAAGCTCACAATGTTATTCTTATGGGGAAAACGTGCCTAAAGTGGCGTCATACCGTATATTGCCACAACTTTACGTTTACACCTGAAAGGGTCATTAATATAAGAAATAGCTTTTTTAGCTTGGTATCGAATATATTTATGGGGAATAAGTAAGAAATAAGGTTTGACAATTTCATAGGGTATGTGGGCAAAGATCAGGATTTTTGGAATTGGTGGCAAAAAAAAAATGATCACCATGTTATTCTTATGGGAAAAACGCCCCAAGTGATGTCTCTTTCTGGGTTCGCCACTACTGGAGCTAATACGTCTTGGTGAGTTTTAGATAGTTTTAAAATAATATAATTTGCCTGAGAACATTTTGCACTAAAATTTGACTTTCAATTACTATAAGATACTCTAAGCTTAGACTTAGTAATAAAGTTAAATCGAACCTTAGACGAAATTACCCACGGTTAGTCTGTTTTATCTGGCAAAATTCATTTGTGAGGTACGTTTTTTGACACCCCCCATTTTAAACTCACAGTGTATACATGAAAATGTTAAATTTTATTATTTATTTCATTGTTTTCTAAACCGATCTGGAATATTCTAAGAGGTCTTATAGCTTTTATTAACTATGGAAGTGCGTGACTATAGTTAATCTGAAAAGCTCTAGAAAGCATATTCTAGATTTGTCTTGATCTTACTAAAATTATAGATGCTCTTACACCATTTTACATCATTCAGGAATTTTTTTTTGTACCACCACACCAAAAAAGTATGTATGTATGTCTTGAATAGTATAAAATATTCTCCCCACTAATAATTTAATAATCACCATTTCATTTTGATATGGGTATCCCATAGTTATTAGCTAACATAATAGTTAATAGCATAGTCGTTTATACACTAAAATATAAATTATAGAGAACTAGGCATTACAGCAGCAATTACAGATTCATAGTTATGTGTACAAATTTCAAAGAAATGCGCACTTTTTTGTACATTTCGTCGTGGTTTTCACCCAACACGATACATTTAACACCGAATTAACATTTTAACCTACAACAGAACACCAACAACAATAAACCTACAAATACCCAATGTTTTCACCAGCTGGTATGTTTAAAACAGCTTAGAAAAACTGTAGCAGTACTTCTATAAGAAAATGACCGGATCTCTAACGGCCTGTGGGGTAAAGCAAGGGTAATTTTAGATTTTTCTGATATTTCTGATATTCTGATACAATTTTTTCTAACCGTCCTTGGACCTTAAGCCTTAAAATGAATCCTCAACAGCCATGCTACATTCTACGTAGTTCAAGATATTTAATGGAACAAATACGGATTATAACAATATTACAATACAATATACAATATTATAAATCATATTACTAATCGCCCCCATCATTATTATCATTATTATCAAATTACTTTCTGGAAGTATTAAACGTACCAGTTTTATAACCAATATATTGTTATCATAAAAAGCTTAGAAGAAAGAACTAAGAAATACATAACCATATCCTAATCTTAAATAAAAAAACTACATTTTTAAATTTTTGAAAGCAAAAACAGACAAAACAAATGGCATTAACGATAATGTACAACAAATGATGTATTATTTTTAAGGATAGTATAAAGAATACAGTAACAAACAGTAAAGTATAAATATTAATACACGTTAAATCTCACGTAAATGTTAGCATTCTATAGGACTAACATATACGCTGTGAGAACCCTGGCCCTGGGGTGAAGCACTCACCACACATTGAGCTCAGCTTAAATAACATACAAAGATTAAAATTATAAAAAACCTGAAAAATCTTTTTAAAACATAGGGAGAGTTATAATCACTCAATGGAACCCTGTAGCAATATAAATTATCATTGATTTATTTCTATTGGCTTGTCCTAAATAACAATTAGTTTTTCTAAGTGAAAGATTTTAAAATACGATAGCAATAATTAAGCCAAATCAACTAAATTGCTAAAATAAGCTATTAGGCTAAATAATATTAGTGGTTGTATAAGGAAATACTTAGTCTGTTGCTCAACTTATTTTTCCCGTAGAAGTCTGGAGAAATTTCCGTCCTCCCTCAACGACTCGAGGGCCAGATCACATTTTTTAGCACCCTTTTTATCTACCTGCCAGATCCCCGGGTCAGTTTCAATGATCCAAAACTACCCTCCGACTGCGGATCAGTCTGTATGCAGCCCATTTGGGGAGTCATTGCGAACCGTGCGATTGGTGCTCCAATGTGTGAGCCGTTCACAAATGGCTATATGAGCAGCACATACTTTTCCCGTTTCTGCAGTGCATATTTTAGCTGCTACTCTCTGTAGTGTATTCCAACTTAGGTTGTCTATTGTAAGTTGTAATGTGTTGGTTAACATTTTTTTCACCTGAGGATGGGATTGGTTTCCAGATCCCAAAACGTTGTGTATTATTTTTTACCACCGTAAAGGAAAATTTTCGCAATAAACCTTTGAATGTGTAGTTATGATTAACGTTACCGCTCTTGTACAGAAGGAAGGAGTGGTGTCTGGCGTCGATGGCGACAGAAATAGGTCCAATCTTAGCCACAGCCTGCTGCAAAGCCTCCTCACTTTCTCTAATCACATCCAAGTAGCCATAGATCATGACTGTCTGTTCGTGACGACTGAATCTGCATGAGCCATTCTGTAAAGTTAATGTTAGAATAATATACTTATGTCCAAAGTCCAACGTCACACATAGTGTGGTAAAACACGAACGTTATTTTCTACCGAGAGCTAACTAATCAGATTAACCAAGGAGTACGCGTCTGATTGTCACCACGACAGATTGGTACCACGTCAGATTGGCACCCCTGATAGGGGTGACGATCAGATTGTGGTTAACGACATATTGGAAACCCGAGGAAGGATTTATGCCAATCTGTCGTGGTGACAAGCTGACGGCGGCCGCAGAGGTGACAATCAGTCGTAAGGCCTCTCGCCCACTATACGATTTCAGTCGTACGACACTGTGTCGTACGATATTCTTGTCGTATGTGTGGTCCTCGCCCACTATACGACACTTTATCGGATAAATGACCAGTTGCTCGGTAGCCATGGAGGAGTGAGTGTGTTGCGCAATATCTTAACCATGTTTTTTTTTTCAAACAATGGATCCGTTACGTGTTGTTGCTATGTGGCTGCTATGGCGTAGAATTAAGCGTCGTAGGGTTAAGCGGAAGTATTGGATTCACCCTATTAATCAAAGTAGGGAACACACAACACACAGGATCATTTCAAACTCTTTTTGATGAACTTCGGCGTGATGATAACAAGCTTTTCAACTACTTCAGAATGTCTGCTGCATACTTTGATGAATTACACCAGAAAATAAAAGCTACAATTGCTTACCAAAATACTAACTGAGGAACTGCATCACTTCTAAAGAAAGTCTAGTTATTAGGGTACGTTGAGGTTAGTAAGATTACATTATATATTTGATACGTTTTGTTGGAAGTGGTCAATGTGAGGCTTCATCATTAAAAAAGTAATTTTTTTTATGTTTAGATTTTTCCTAAGTTAATGTAGGTTAATGTTAAGTTAATGTTCCTATTTAAAGACATCTTAAAATTATACGAGTCCGTGCCATTTAACAAGTTTTTAACATTACTTATGTTTGTCATATTACTTTCATAGGTTTTGGTCATAGGTGTGTATGTTCGAACAGGTTTTGTTTTGTTTTTAAATATTAATACTATTTGTTTAAACATATAATCTGCAAAAAGTAATACTTAGGTATTTTAGACAAACTATTTAACACAATATAATTAATAACAATTGTTATACAAAAATTACGGAATAATAAAAGTCGCATTGTTTTATAATTTTGTTTAAATATTTACTTATAAGTAATGCAGTGCATTAAAATAATATGAAGAAAAAATATGAACGAACTGTCAGGAATACAGACAAAATCAAAATCACGCAAAATGTTGGCTGAAAAGACAAAAACTAAGCGATATATCAAACATTATAATAAACAAGTAGCCTATGAATTAATTGTAAAAAATATATGCATGATCAAAATTATGCAAAAAACTATTTCAAAAGACGAAAACCCCATTTTAAATGACAAAACTTAAATTAGCGAAAGTCATGCGAAGTGAACAGCGAGAAGGCTCAGCGTGAAATAGGACTAGGAGGACTTGGGGAGAACGCACGACATACGATAAAAATCGTATAGTGGGCGAGCGCACATTTGATCATACACGCCACTGCGAGTTAGACAGTCGTACGACAGTCGTGTATCACAGTGGCAGTGGACGACTGCTTCACGACAGTTTATCGTAGTCGTGAGATTATCGTACAGTGGGCGAGCTCTCATAAGATCCAATGGTTCACTGTTGAAATGTTGTCGTTCCGACACAGTGTCGTACGACCGAAATCGTATAGTGGGCGAGGGGCCTAACAGTACACGCCAGATTGGAACCTCGAGAAAGGGGTTGTGCCAATCTGTCGTGGTGACAAGCTGACGGGGGCCTCAGAGTCGTAACAGTAACCGACAGAATGGCACCCCTACCCTCAATAGGCCCTCCATTTCGTTTTGCTTATAATAAAACATCTCTAACTTCCCCCAAAACCCACATAATCTGGTTTTTAAAAAACAGAAACCTGTCTCTAATTAATGCATATCAATTAATGCATACACATTGATAATAACATTAACTTTAATGAATTAATCGATTTTTCAAATCACCGGGGGACGAATTCCTAAACGTAAGCATACCTTGAGTTGTAGATTATCTTAAAGGTCTTACATGTAGTAGATCAAAACAGCACAAACCGCTTTGTAAATGGTTTATCTAGGATTTTAATAGTATGATATTAAACTCAAGATTACAATTTGGAAAACGGCTGATGCCTACTAAAGTATTTGGCAAAAATGAATGGAACCTTGCAATCATGTTTATAATGCAATGAAAAAATGTAACATTAATAACATATATTTTACTTGTTCATGGGACGGCCCATGAAAAAAGTCATGGAATATTTCGATGTAGGCCCACCTTGAGTTATAACTCGTTTCATAGGTATCTGTTTGTAGATCACAACAGCGAAAACCTGCTTAAAAAAAGGTTTATTCATTCAGAAGTTACAGCTTGTCAAAGAAATGACAAATTTATCATTCAGTTTACTAATATAATTTCAATTAAATGGGATTTTCCATGCATTATGGAGTAATTAATTATTATATAGTTGAGAAGCTGTAATTTCTGACTGAATATCTATCTTTTTGTAACCATGATTGCGGTTGTGTGCAAGTAGGCTTACGTTATAAATTAATTACTTCCTTCGTGGAACATCATTTTGACAAGTGAAAAATTAGTAATTCGTGTTGATTTGTCTTTGCGAAAGAAACACGACTCCGAAGTTTCATTTATTTCAGCTAAGTACTTTAATCATTATTAGACGTTTTACAAATTTTTGCCTTGAGTTTAATTGCATAGCTTTTGAAGTATTTAAGGAACTGTAAATTCTCATTAGATCAACACTTAACGTTGCGGTTTGCGCTATTTTTAGTAATGGCAATATAAGGGTTTTATCCCACTTGGGGCGTTTTTTCCCATAAGAATAACATGGTGATCATTTTTTGGCCACCATAACCAAAAATCCTGATCTTTGCCTAAATATCCTTATATAATTGTAAAACCTTATTTCTTACTTATTACCCATAAATATATTCGATATCAAGCTAATAAAGCTATTTCTTTCATTTATTGACCCTTACAAGTGTAAATGGAGAGTAGTGGCAATATACCGGTTTAACGGCACTTGGGGCACGTTTTTCCCATGTTTTTCTTATGGCGATTATTGGGTCCGCGTAATTGGCTAACTCTGGAACTCGCTAACCCCATGTTAAACGCCCTATCTTCAAATTTGGTCGATGAGAGGAACTCGCTAACTTGTTCGGTTTCGGAATTGGCTAACGAATTGGGTTAGCGAATTCCGTCCTCGTACGGAAGTCGCTAACTCGGTCCCTCGGCGGAACTCGCTAACTCCCAAACAGAAGCCTCGCGGGCCGTCCAATGGGAGCCTAGCACGAATATTTTTGACCAGTGTTGCCGAAAGTGTAGTACCTATATCGTATCGGTAACATAATGTCGTATCCTACGATTAATTAGGAGTAAGAGCAACGTAGTCGATAAAATAAATATATTTGGAAGTATGTTTAACATTAATCTTATGATTATTAGGGTGGAAAATGCATTATAGTCTTACCATAGACTAACCAACATAAGTAAACTTTACATCCCATTGTAAACTCTGAAGCTCGTTTTTGGTGTCTAGTTTATGTCTAGTGACACTGATCGCTAGTGTCGACAAAATTGTGTTTCTATTATTTGATAGTTAACTTCATGATTTGTTCTTTACTGTTTGGTTATATAACTAGGGGACGTGTTATTAGTTGTGATTATAACGTTTTATTTGGTTAAACGAAGCTTTTAATGACTGAAAACAAGAACCAATTATTGTAAACTAAACACGACCTCTAAAGACAGTGCATCGGACAGAACTAACAATAAAACTGTCTTCAGCTGATCCATAAGGCTGAGAAATCATACTAATATTATAAATGTGAAAGTTTGTGTGTTTGTGTGTTTGTTTGTTTGTTTGAAGTTCAATCACGCTTTAACTACTGGACGGATTATGCTGAAATTTGGCATAATGATAGCTCACATTCCCGATTAACATATTAAGCCTATTCTTATCTCAAAAATCCTTCCAGGCTCCACCCCAGGGGCTCTATGGATCCCTATGTTAACCTTATGAGTAATCACATTTAAAAGGAATTAAGGAATTTAGTCAGCTTTTTCAACTAAACAAGTTGGTTCTATGATATGTAATAGCATTAAAACGTTATAAGGTTTACCAACAGGGTACAACACGATTAGGCCATTTATTGTTTGAATTTTTGACAATTAGCTAATTGAACTAAGCAGCAACAAAAGCTGTGATACGCAATGAGAACTATCAAAGTAGGATTGTTTACAGTTATTTTTAGGCCTATATGACCATTCAATGAATCATTTGTGATATTGTGCAAAGGTTTGATAATTTGTTTTCTATTGTTTAGGTGCAGTAGTAGAGCATATGATAAATATGATAAATATGATAAATATGATGGCTATGGTAAATGTGTTATACTATAGCATACCGTAAACTTCAAGAACCAAATTTTATCAAACTGTGTCGTCCCCCATTGCAAACACAAAGCTTGAGTATGACTGCAATAAACATTTTACACTTATATGCCAACCCCGTACGAAGGACGGGTACTCTGCTAGTGTACTAATATAAGGGAGTATGTGTTATATGTGGGTTTCTTACTTGAATAGTAGCTTTTTGGTATGCAAAAAGATAAAAATGCACATTTAATTTGGATATATTACATGTTATGAAATATCTATTTTCGTAGTCCGCCATTTGTTTCTTTTATTTGAATGAATACAATTTTGTGAACTTCTGCAAATAAAATTGTTGAGTTCGCAGTTTATATACTGGGCTTGTAACCTTGAATCATAAATCATAATAACACGTTTACACGTTAAACGTCATTACAGAATTACATTGTACTGGTAATTTATTTTTAAATAGAGCTATTGAATTTAAATAAATAGTTATCAATACATTATAAAGTGGTAG